TTTTTTTTTTTTTGTATAATATTATTCTTTTTTTTAATGTTATGTCTATGTATGTGCTCTTTCTTTTACTTTTTTCCTTTTTAAGAATTTCAGATTTGGCCAAGTAGGCACGTGTCGAGAAGCTACAGTGTGCTTTAGATATGAATTTTGGGTATGACGAACACGGGAACCGACTGCAGTCTGATGATGACAGCAAAAGCAGTGACAGTAATGCCAACAGCAACGATAATGATTATGAGGTAGCTACTGTTAGTGATGATGATATGAAACATTCAGAAGGAAGTGATGATAGCAGAAGTAACCATACCGATTCATCAGATGAAGAAGAAAAACGTAATGGTGGTGATTCAAGCAGTGAATTTAGTGATGATGTTGAACTCATTATTGGTGAGATGGCAAATCAATCTATTAATGAACCGTTGGTGGATAGTAAGGATATTGTTTCAGATCGTCGAGCAGATATAACACAAGGTAAATTCCTTTTAGAAGACCGACGAGTAACATCACTTCTTATTCAAGATAAACACCAAAAACAAGTTTCTTCCCCTGAACGTGGATTTCTTGATCTTGTACGTGGTATTTCTTCACGACACCGTAATGTAGCTCTTATTGGACATTTACATCATGGAAAAACATCACTACTTTCACTTCTATTGGGAGGACGCTCCTACCGACAGCGGGAGGATGAAGTGGAACGTAAAATCTCCATTAAGAGCGGTATGGTTACAGAAGTGGTAGCGGGTGCCCAATACCAACAATCCTCACATCTTGTAAGCTTTATAGATACACCAGGACATCCGGATTTTGCAGCAGAAACATCTGCTGCTTTACGTCTGGCAGATGCGGCTTTATTCTGCGTGGATGCAGTGGAGTCGTTATCACGCGGGGGTGCACGACTGCTGCGACAGGCAGTATTACAGGAGGGAATACCAATTATTCTCGTCATCACAAAGATTGATCGACTCATTATGGATCTTAAGCTGCCACCCATTGACGCTTACCGTAAACTACGTATGGTGATAGATGCTGTGAATAATGAGATCACCAGTTTGGGTTCCCCGTTTCTTGTCTCACCAGTGAATGGAACGGTTTGCTTTACATCCTCAAAACTCGGATTTTGTTTCTCAACTGAAACATTTGCGCTAAAGTACAGCCGTGAATATCCTACTATTGATGCTACAGCATTGTCAAAACGACTATGGGGCCAGATTGCTTTTGAGAAGGGTAAATTTGTGAAAATCACAAACTTCCGTCAGAGACCTGCTTTTGTTTCATTTATTTTAGAACCACTCTACAAAATTGTGGCTCATGCACTTACAGGAAAAGGTCACGAGACTCTCTCAAGTGGACTTCATCCATATCCACGAGATCCTGTAAGTGCGGTACGTGAAGCGGTACGACTTTTCTGTGGTGATGCAGCAACTGAAGGTATTGATATACTCCTTAATGTTTTACCACAAACAAATGAACGTTCATCATGGCTTCTTTCACGGTATCGCCTTCCATCGTATTTGGAGAACTCCGCCATTGCAATTGCTCCATTACTACGATCACAAAATAATGGAACAGAGAACTTTGCAGTTGTTCGTGTCCTGTATGGTGTGTTAAAACGTGGTATGAAATTGGTGGTGGTGGATGAACATTCAAGTGATGCTGAACCATTTTATACTTTTGTAGTAAAAGAACTATTACTTAAAATGGTAGATGGTTTTGTTGAAGTTGAGTCTGCAATTGCGGGTCAGGTGGTTCTTCTTAATGGATTTGGTACACGACCAGGAAGTCATCTTGTTTTGGTTGGTGGTGCTGCTACAGCTTCTCTCCTTTTGGAAGAGGATGAGTATAATGCTGTAGAAGAAGAAGAAGAAGAAGAGGATGCATCATCTGCGTGGTTGGATGAGGTCCAAGTATATCCACTTAAATGTGGGGATCCAATTATTCACGTTGGTGTAGAACTTAAAGATCCCACAAAAAGTACACAGTTTCAATCTGGTTTACAAATTCTTGTACGTACAACACCAGGACTTGATGCGCACAAGGAAGAAACAGGAGAATTTACACTCACTGGTTATGGTGAACTGCATCTTGATACTGCATTGCATGAATTGCGATGTGGACTTTGTGCAGGAATAAAAATTGGTATTTCACAACCTTTTGTATCCTTTTCAGAAACTGTCCTAGAGAAGGATGGTATTTTGGCTGTTAGTGGCTCAAAGAGAGCACAAATTGGTTTCACAAGTGGTACAATGGATCGTCAATTAACAGAACGTATTGAATACGAACAACTCAATCTCTTTCCAACGGATGAAAGCAGTGTTGTAAAGGTATGGACAGCACTACGGCAATATGATATGGATGCTCTTGACGCTAGACATGTCATTGCAGCAGGTCCTCACGCCACTAAAGGACCTAGTATACTCATTAATGACACACTTGAAGAGGAGCAAGAATTGGCACCACTTACACAACAACGTTTACAAGCCATTTCTGTTGGGTTTAGATCTGCAGTGGCATCTGGACCTTTAACAGGTGATGTTGTTCGCGGCGCGGCTTTACGACTGATATTTGCTGATATAGCAGCAGAAATAAAAGATACAGCTGTTCTTTCAATTGCACGAACAACCGTCAAACAGGCACTTCTTGGGGCCCAACCAAGGCTTCTCGAACCCGTACTCGCTGTTGATATCACATGTCCTCCTGAGTGTGTGGCCAAGATAGCGGAAATACTTCAAATGCGCCGAGGTAGTATTGTGTCGGAGGAACCAATTGCCGCCACAACACTTGTGTGTGTGCGTGCGTTAGTGCCAGCAATGGACAGTTTTGGACTTGAGACGCAAATGCGAATGACGACGCAAGGTGAGGCATTCCCTCTCTTCAGTTTTGATCGTTGGGATCTTGTGCCTGGTGATCCATTTGATGCAACAATTCATGTTGGGATGCTGCAGCCAGCTCGTGGTTATCAGTTGGCACGGGATTTTACACTTAAAACACGCTTTCGCAAAGGACTACCTCCACTTTTGGCGGAATTTCAGCTTTGAGAGCGTTCGTATAAAGGAGAGCTCTTTTTTTGTTGTTGTTGTTCATCTTCAACCCACATCTAATGAAAAAGAAATACAATTATATATATATATATATATATATATATATATTACTATTATTTTCATATTTTTATCTGGATATTATTTGGAGTTGTTATTTCTCTTATTCCCATGCTTTGTCTTTTTTTTTCTTGCTGGTGCATGTAAAATATACATTTCTTTTTCTTTTTTCTTCCTTTTATTCTTTTGTGTTTTTCTTGTCCCATGAGTAATTCAATGGGATGTAAACAGAGTACTGTGAAACCGAGGCCTCAGGGGATAAGAAAGAGTGGACATGACAAGAAGAGTTGTAATCATAACAAGTTTAAATCAACATCACCTGCTCCGCGTGGTCTCCCCACTTCTGATAATAACAAGGAACCAAAACTTGTGGCAGCGTGGGCACTTCCTGATGAACAAGATACAAGTCTCAATACTATGCAAACTGTATACAATCCCGGATCTATTTCTATCAAAGAGACATATGGGTCAAGAGAGAGTTCTCAGGCTCTCAAGATGGACACCCAAGATCGGAACTTGCAAAGGTACAGCAGAGGGCAAAAATATCATTCAGTTATAGCCCCATCCTATGATGATTCATTGTAAGATCATTTTATTGATTCTTATAAGATATTGAGATGCATTTTCAGGCGTTTATTTTTATTTATTTTATTTTTGGATCTTGTTTGGGGAATGAAAAGAGTGAGCTTGTTGTCACTATTTCTTACCCTTTGTTGTATTTATTTATTCCTTCCTGTATATATATATATATATATTTGTATAAAAATGACGCAGACCTATAGTAACAAGTAATGATCAGAGTGATATCAAGAGTAATCTGATTATTTTTTTTTTTTAACAACAGTTATCGTTTTATAAGAACTTTATTTTTAATTATACTTGCTTAACTTTCTCACTGTTTAACATTTCCAATGAGAGAGGATTGACTCAAAACTATAGACGTTATCCCTATGCTTCCTTCCATCTTTTTTTTTCCCTCTTCTTCCTCCTTCTTCTCCTTTGTTTGATTTTCTCTCAAAAAAAAAAGGGAAAGGGTAGAACATCTCTCTCACCAGCATAATAAAACACTGAGAATGAGCCGGGATCTGGCAAAGGAGGTGGATCAGGCGCTACAGCAGGACACATATGATTTAAGTTTGTTTCTCCGCTTTTTGAAAAGCCACGTTGTGGCCGGCACGCAGCCAGACAAGCGTCTTCTTCTTGGAATTCTCTTGCAGGCGCTCCCGCGCTTCCACACTAGCGACTTCTCCGCCTGTATTTCCCTTGTGCAGGGCCACGTGCAGGATGCGCCGTACATTGAGAAGGAACTCAGCACCATTTACGATCTTGAGAACTATTTGAGCTGCGGCCGCTTCTCTCAGTTCTGGGAGGTGTGGGCGGAGGCGAGGGCGCTGCTGCACGCCACCCCGAGCTTCGAGGCGCAGATGCGGGCCTCCATCGTCACGGTGGTGAGCAGCACACTCGAGCAGCTCCCGCTCGCCAAGATGGCCGTCTATTTGGGCATCCCAACAACACAAGTGCAGACGGCACTGCAGGAGGCGGTGAAACTCGCCGGCGATGCGGTTGTGGTGCGGGGCTGCGACAACGAGACGGTGACGTTCGCAACGACGATGTTTAACACACCGGAGAGTGATACGAACCAGCAGCCACTGCGGTTTGCAGATATTACCTCCATCATCTCATAACCGTGAGACATCGGAAATCGAAAAAGAGAGAGACGGAGAGAAGGAAAAGAATGAGAAGGAGTGTGAGGGATGTGTGTTTTTATGGGAAAAGAAAGAAAAAAAAAAAAAAAAACTGACTCGAGGAAGAAAAGAAGAAGAAAAGAAAACTGAAGAGGTTTTGCTTTCTCGTTTTTTTTTTTTTTTTTTTGGTGTGTGTGTGTGTTTCCCATCATCTCTGGTTAAGAAAGTGTGTTTAAGAGAAGAGCTAATACGCTTACTGCTCTTTGGACTCGTTTCCTTTGTTGTTTTCTGTTTGTAGAAATAAATTACACCTCATTCAATGGGATGAACTCTCTACGATTGTTCAAGTGATATTTATTTTCTTTCTTCCCTTCTTTTTTTTTTTTTTTAAATTGACTTTGTATACATATATTTGCTGCACGATACAATATGTGTATATTTGTATGTAAAACAAAACAAAAAAGAGGAGTAGTATCAGGGCAAACATAACAGTAGGAGAGCAGGAAAGGAAAGAAAATAAAAGAAAAGAATACTATTTCTAACAGTATTTGGAATTAGGGGAAGCTGTACATGCAGTGGTGCAAGGAAGGGAGAGAGGTACAGCAAAAACACGTTTCGGCATGCGTATTTCACAGACACGAGGAGCTTAATAAGAGTGAGTATCTTTGCACATGTGAGAAACTCACAGATGTTCTTCACATACTCGAACTACCTGAAAAACATAATATCACTGATACTCTAACAAGAACAGCAGAAACAGGAGCAGCAGGAAGAGCAACAACAAGTTCAATGACAGTTGTGGAATCTGCCGCCCAGTTGTCGGTACATGGGGCGATATCTATGACCGCTTCGTATGCGGATTACACCTCCCGCACCCGCTGTCACACTGTGGAGAATCTCACAATTGAACAATGTATTTCTTTCTGGAAGCGCAGTGTCATTTTTGCTGCAGAATTTATACTCAGTGCCACCAATAATGCCATGCGGCGAAGTGCAGTAGTGGTGGGAGTCTTCATGATACGCAGTGATTACTCGGAATTCACAGTAGGTATCATCACACAATGCGCAACGCGTGATAATCGCTTGCAGCCCATTCTTTCTCAATTCTGCGACCATCACATGTTAACAAGAGTTCATGCGGAATTGCCACTCTGCGCAGCACACCGCACAACTACCATGCGGTTATGGTGGGAACCAAGGACAGAACGGGTAACTCCACATCGTATCATGCCACCTATGAAGGTAATTCTTGAGCAACATCAGAAACTACAGTGTAATGGAATTCCGTGTTGTGGCTATGGTGCCGTTAATGTATTTCTTTGTCGTCCCATGACATCACGTCTTTGTGGGACAACGAAGAAAACGCTCCAGTCCACCAACCCTGATGCTTTTGAAAAGATATTATTATCAACTGTTGATAAGGGACAGGGTAAGGGATTAAAGGATGATGCAGATGCTGCTATTCTTAATTCAGATTTCTTAAAGGATGCCGCATACTCTTCAGCAGTACAGAAGAGACAGAAATTGAAATTAGATCGACGACAAAATATCGTTATCCTTCACTTTGATGATCTCTCCGTTGTTGAGGAGGGTGAACATCTCATTGGTGTGGAAGTGGAAGCACTGCCCTCTTACAGAGCATTTCTACCCGCACTCTACGGTCACCTTGCACCATTCCTCGTGGTTGCACGTGAAGATGCCTGAGAGAAGAACAGGCAGTGTAGAATGGGATTTATTTTATCTATTTATTCTCTTGTTTTTTTTTTTTTTTGTTTTTTTTTTTTTTTTGTTTTCATTTCTCACTATTATAGGTATCTAAAGAGTTTTTTTTTTCTTTATTTCCTTAGTTTTAACTACAGAAGGGTTTGGTTCTGGTTTTATCATTTGTTTTCTTTTTTCTCTCTTTTGGTCAGTCAATTCATGCATACAAACTTGAATATTATATGCTGTTCTGGTGTGGAAGGAGGGAAGTGACACAGACATTTACAGCCCGTATATATATATATATATATATTTATTATTATTATTATTTCTGATTTTTGTATGTTCTCCTTTGAATTCTTTTCGAAATGGTTATTTGTATACCTTTTCTCTTTTTTTTTTCTTTTTTTCTTCTCGTTCCTCCGCAGAGTGTAGGTAGGTTCGGTGTTTGTTTTATTTTTATTATTCTATTTTTGACTCATATTATTATTTTTCCCCCTTTTTGTAGGTATGTCTGCGCTTATACAGCGTCTGATGGAGTTGGGGGAGGAGCCCTCAAACACACACCGCTTGACCACCTCCTCTGAACTCAACAACAAGGCAACAAAGGATGAACTTGTATCACAGGTAGTACAACTGCAAAACCAACTAGCCGATCAAAAACGCAAATACGATGATTTACTTGCAGATGCCACCAAACTACGATCAGAGTATGATGCCTATCGTCGCATGGCGGAACGAGAAAAGCGACAATATGTGGAACAGCGTTCAGAGGATAGACGCATGTTGGATGAATTGCGACGTGCGGGGGCTTCTGGAAAAATGGATGAGACGTACGTGCGGGAGACGGAGGCGAAAGTGGCGGATCTGCAGGATCGACTGCGCAAGGCATTAGAAGAAGTGGAGCGAACATACAAGCGACAACTCGAGGCGGAGCATGCACGAGTGGCGGCGGAAACGGCAAAGAAGGATGAAGTGCAGGAACTCTGTCAGCAGTTTGAACGATTTAAGGAAACCATGCGGCAGCGAAATGAACAGTTGGAACAACAGTTAAGTGAAGCACGGAAGGCTGTGGTGGTTTCTACTGCCTCTTCTCAGCTTTCATCCACACAGCAGGATAAGGCACTAACAGCAGTATCTAATGGTGGGAGTGAAGTAAAGGAAGATGAGATACCGAGTGGAGCTGGTGTTACGGTTAATGATGATGTATCACATCTCCAGGCACTTTTATCGGCGGCATCACAGCGTGAAAAGCAGTTGCAAACGGAACTGGCTGCAGAACAGACTCGTTATCAACGTCAAGTTGAGGAAGCCAATTGGGAAACGATGGAAGCAGGTAAAAAAATTGCAGAACTAAGAACTGAAATAGACACATGGCGTTCAAAAACATCACAGTTGGAAAGCGCATTGGAGTCTAAAGGGGAAGAACATACATTGAAAGAGAGAGACCTTCGGCATAGTCTTCGACAGGCTGAAGATAACGTAGCACGACTGCAGCGTGAATTACAGGATGTGAAGGAGACGGCAGAAAATAAACGTCAAGAGTATGAACATGCCCTTATACGCGAACGTGAGGCGGTGGCAAAACGAACTGTAATGGCAGATGAGGCGGAATGTCTGACGAAGAGTGTTAATGAAGCTATGCAAGAGCAACGAGTACACTATGAACGTCTCTTGCATGAACGTGAAGTGGCATTGCAGGAACAACAAGGTATATGTCGAGCATTGGAGGCTGCGCTGCGGGAATCACGTGAAGATAAACATCAACAAACAGATCGCATGGATGATCTTCGTCAGGAGTTGGACCAATGTCAACATACGATCAGTGAACTTGAACTTATGCAGGCACAAAGTCAACGATTAATTGCCCTACGCGAGGAGGAAGTCATGTCAAAGGAAGGAGAGAGACAAAAACTGAGACGACTCTTACGTGAAGAAGAAGAGGCCCATCACCGTACCCGTCAGCGTATGGTAGAGTTAGAAACACAACAAAGTGAAACAGAGCTTATCAGTGCAAGACATGCAGCTGTTACAGAGGAAACCTCTAATAGACTTGTAGCTCTTGAACGGGAGTGTAATTCTGCACGTGGTTTGGTAGAAGTACAGCAGTCACAATTGCAAACAAAGGAGCAGACAATACGTCAACTACAATTACAACTGGATGAATTAATTGCCCAAAGTGCGAAATTTGCTTATTATCGTGAAGAACAAGCGGCTAAAGCTCGACAGTTTGAGGGTCGTATTCGTGAACTAGAAGCAGAGAGGTCAGCCAGTGTTATTCAACAATTGCAAACGGAAAACTTTTCAGCTCAACCAATCTTTAGTACGGCACCTTTACCAAATGTTGGAAATGCATCAAACAATAATACATCATCTCCATTTGAATTATTATATGCTGCCCCATCTGAGCGTGTAAGACAACAATTTGTTTCAGAAGCCGTTATGTCAGCTCGTAAATTGCGTCTTGCTGCATCATCTCGTCTTCGAAAAGTTGTACTGTTCTCTATGGCATGTATTCTCATTGTAATTCTTACAGCTAGTTATTTTACGGCCTCACCTAATGCTAATTCCGTTGGGGCAATGGATGCAGCTATAGATTCACTTCAACAGCGGTATACATCGGCATCTGAAGCGTTGAAAAAGTGTCAAGCGAGTCTTGCCATGTGTAGTAAAAAATAAAAGTGATGATCAATTCTCCTGTTACATGCTAGTTTTCCATTGGTTTTTGCTTTTTTTGTTTTGCTTTTCTGTTTCGGTTTTTTTTTTTTTTTTTGTTGTTGTTCTTGTTGTTGCTCTGTGTCTAAAGATGTGTTGACATTGCTGGGGCTACTCATATTCTTTCGTGATGTGAAGGTGGACGTTATTTTAATTACTCTTTGTATCTACGTGTATGTATATATGTGTCTCTATGTTTCTTTTATTAGGTAATCTTCAGTCGAAGGGTTATCTCTTTATTTATTTTTTCTTCCTTTCTCCGGTCTTGCCAATTTTTTGGCGAAATTACATTAGGAAACAGAAAAAAAAAAGAAGAAAAAGTACGTGTTTGAGATTTATATATATATATATATACTTGTATAGTGAGGCTGATTCCCTGATACGCATAAGTGAGATCAGGAATTTAATGGATCAGTTTGTCAACAAAATTCGTTTTTGGGATTCAAAGGAATCGGCAACCTTTTCATCGCGACATCAGAGTACTACTGCTATTACTACTACTACTACTACTAAACAGACTAATGTGTTTTGTACGGATGAAACAATAGATTACAAAGCATATCACTTATGTGCATATGATCCTATTTTAGGAGTTTTAATTTGCGTGGGTAATAATGAACCAGTAGTTGTATTAGCTTCGGGCCGTCGACGGGCGGTTTTACCAGTGCGTAAAGGTACTTGTTGGTTAAATTGTCACATCCTTGCTGGAACTTCAAGTTTTCTATTACTTTCCCCTGATTGTTTACTGCTTCTTGATTATACACAGCGTAATCCGACTTGTGCACTCTTTCCTCGTGGGAAAAGTGAGACTTTCTTTACATGTTTGCATGTTCCCCAAGGTGTAACATGGGGAGCCGTTGGTTGTCGTAATGGTACTGTGGCGTATTGGAAGTTAAAACAGGAAGAGAACAATAAGGTGAGTCTCGTTTGGACAGCATTAACAAGTAATGTTTCTGAGTTTTGTCGTCCTTTTCTTCCTACAACAAATCCTACGAAAGATGGTTATATTTATGCAATGGACTCTTATGCGACGAGTCCAAATATGTTTATAGCAGTAATTTCCGGAGTTTCTGGGGTTTGTAAATGGGATATAGAGGAGAATAGTCTCTATACCCTTTTTACTACATCAGGTAATACCATAGGATCTGCTCTCACTACTTGTAAAGTGACACCAGGAGGAACCTATGTCGTTGCTACGACAAGGGATGTTTCCGTTGTTTTAATATGGTCAAATAGTGGAAAAAAGAAAAAAGATAAATCCGTGGAACTTACTTGGGTTTTGGAGACTGGGTGTCGTTTATCAACAAATTTTGTAAACCTGAATGAGGAAAATGAGATTGATGATACTATAGCTCCTTCATGTGGTATATATATTGCACGTAGTACAGGATCTTCAACGCATGTACAATCTGATAAAAAATGTCAAATGTATTTGTTGTTGTATTCTGCGAAAGATTTAGTAGAAATTGTGGTAGATATGGAGGAGAAACAGCTTATTCAACGAGAAGACATATTAGCAAATGTAGCAGCATTACAGTTAGAATCCACTTTATCACCTGATAGTAAGGATATGATTACATTACAACACATAATTCCGTGTACGTGTTCTAAATACTGGTTAGGGATGTGTTCTGAGACAGAATTAAATATACTTATTCTAATGATTCAAGATTCTGGACCTTTATTAGTTGAACGATCTCGTGCAAAGCGAGCTGTGAAATGTATCACAGAAATGCTAGATATCCCACGTTCTTCTTCCTCCTCAGATAATGAAATGTTTATCGTAAAACCACCTATAGAAACGATGTATACTATTTCTCCTTTTATGGGAAAAGTTCGAGAGGAAACTAACCCGTGGAATATTATCTTTACTGGAATGAAAAGGGTAAATGCCTCTGAATTTACAAAAGAAGAAGATAGTGCAATTATTGGAATAATTTCCAATGGATTTAGTGGAGGTATTTGTTTACTTCCCTCATCTAATGAGTGCTTACCTATACCTCAGGAATTGATAAAGCAAGATATCATATGTTCAGGTTGTGAGTATGTTGAGGGTGATGGATCGCTAATAATACTTGAACGAGCTTTTCCAGAACCTCCAGAAACAACAAAAGTAATTTTGCGTGCTGTAGCAAAAGAGGATATGGTTACTCTATTCATTATGCATCTTTCACCTCCAAAAGTGGAGTCTTTTCTTTTATTTTCGAAAGAAATGCTTGCGTCAATTGCATCTCTTACAACTGGAGGAGAATATGGTGCTGTAGCACGAAAAGCAATTTTAGTTGAATGTCATCTAGAGTCTCTTGATACTACATGTTCAGAATTCAACATTATGCATGGTGGATGGAGTATTCTTCTTCAGTTATGTGATGGTTCCTTGATTCTCATAGATCTAAGAAGCGTTGGAGATGTTGAAAAGGGTCATTTACCCCATATGGTACATTATCCTTCTGGTTTATTCCCTGCAGGAACTAGTGTCACATCATTTCATACAACTTGGTTAGATTGGGATGATGTTCCAGAACGAAGCAAAAGTAGGATAGATGGAGAAAGCTCTTTAGTGTTATTTTGTGTCTTGTCAGGTCAGAAGGGTCTGTTAGTATGGGATATGTCTCGAATGCGACTTTTAACCTATTTTCAAAATACAGAACGAGAAGATTGGCGTTATAATAGTCTTTTGACACACTCAAAAAAAGTTTCTTTTTATGAATCTAATTGGGGCAAGAAGCTTTTGATATCCATTTCTCTTAAGATTGATTCCACTACTGGCGGAAGTAATACAAATGAAGGGTGTATCTTTTTACGCGATTTCCTTGGTCGACTCCTAATTTCCTTTTCAGTGGGATACGGTTTGGATGGGAATAATGTTTGGTACCTTAAAAGAGATAATATTGAGAATGATTGTCATCCAATATCATCTGCAGATGCGCAATCCATTAAATTATGTATCAATATAGTGGATAATCAAGTTGTGGTAGATACAGGAATAGAGCTTTCTCTTGGTGAAACTTTATTCCCTTGTAGTCATATAGCTATGGTAGAGACAAGTTTTTCCTGGACCTTTGCAAATCTTGTATGGGAGTTTCTTGAAGAAAAGCAAGAAGGAGTAGCAGAATCAGAAAAAGAAGAAAATTCCAAATTATCAAGAGATGTTTCAAGTGATCAGAGGGAAGAGGGAAGTGTATTACTCTGTGGTGATAGAAAAATTAATATGTTTCGCGCTACACAACTGGCAACAAGTGGGGGAGAAAAAAAATCTTTGGCAATATACCAGATCCCGTCAGGATGTGTCTTGGAACATGCCGTGGTTTGCAAATCATTACGTGCTATTCTTCTCTTAAGTCGGGATGCTAATAAATGGCGATGGTTTAGTCTATTTGATTTAAATTCTGCTGATGAGTTGATGAAGCCATTTGTAATGACACATTTTGTTCACGAGGAAGGTGATTTGCGCATTTACCCAGTTTCCATCAAAGGAGACGGTGTTCACGTATATATTTTGGGTCGAGGTGGAACGCTTGGACACCTTTTACTTTCAAGAGAGGCGTCTGAGGAAGTAGCCCGTTTTAACCAGGGACACGGATATTTTACCAATTCATGCTACATACCTGCCCCGGCAGGATTTCGGGCGTATGCGCGTTTTTTGCCGTCACCACCAACAATGAAGCAGGAACATGGATTTTTAAAACGGCTGATGACGCTTCCATGGGAAGATGTTGTGTTGAAAATCGAGTGTGAAGTTTTGTGTAGCGAACGATCGGAGTCTTTTGACGAGTTTCAAGAACGTATCACGAGACCCTTGGAAAAGACCCCACCAACGGCACCAAAACAACCAGACCCCGAGCAAGAGCGAAAAGAATTGTTGCAAGGAAGTCGGTATTCAGAGCTAAAATCTATAGCCGCTCGTGAAAACGTCACCCTCAGCGAGGCGAGGCGAATTATGAGTGAAAACAGAAACCGTCTCGAAGAACGCGGGGAACGAATCGCCCAGATTGAAAACCGGTCGCGCGAACTCGCGGAGCAGGCCGCTACTTTTGAAGAGCTGGCAAGGAAGTTAAAGGAGAAACAGCGGAACCGTTGGTTTTAACAAAGTTGTGTTTGCGTTTGGCGGTGGCGGGCCGTTTTATTATATTTAATTTTATTTTTTTTGTGGGTGTCTCGTTGCCTTTTTTCCCTTTTTTTTTCTTTTTTTGTATCCTTATCCACTGGGAACTTTTGGAAAAAAAAAAAATATATATATATATATCCCGTTTTGTCCGGCGAGAGTCTGGGCGTGAAAAGGGTTGCGCGATCCTCTTCCTTCCTTTGGTTTTTTTTTTTTTTTTTTTTTTTTTTTTGTTTTTGCCAAAGAAAGGGGCTCTAGCAGAACAAAAGGAAAGGATTGGGGTTCGGTTTTTTTTTCCGTTCCCTCCGCTTCCCCCCGCTGGAGGGGGTCTTAGGCCCGCTGCCCCGGGGGCCCCGATAAAGAAATTTGGGGGCCGGGGCCGCACATTCCCCAAAAAGGGGAGGGGATCCCTCCCCGTTTTTATTTTTTTCCCGCCGCCGCCCCGGGGTTTCGTTTTCGGGCCCGAGCCCGGAAGGGGATTCCCGTTGGGGGGGTGGCCGAGGCCCCCGCGGTTCTTTTTTTTTTTTTTTTCTGGGGCCCCCGCGCCGCCTTGCGCGGCCAGGCCGGGGTGGGGCTTTCCCCGTCCAGGGTCTTTTTGTTTGTTTCTTTGGGGCCCCGGTGCCTCGTGCCCCGCCGGTGCCGTTTCCTTTTTTTGTTGTTCCCACCGGCTCGGGGCGGCGCGGGGGCGGGGGCGGGGGGAGGTCAAACCGCCCGTGCCGCGCGCCGGTGTTTTTTTTTTTTTTTTTTTTATTTTTACGTTCGGGTTCGCCGGGGCCCAGCGGCGTCTAAAAAAGAAAATTCTTCTTCTCTTTTTTCTTTTTGATCTTATCTTTAGTCATTTTCTTTTCTTCTTCTAAAGTTGTAGATGTGGGTTCTTTCCTTCATTTTCTTACTGGTGATTTCAAATGGGTTTGTTGAGGCTTATACGCCTCCGAATCTTGTTGGGGCTCGATTTTCTCATGGAGAACTTTTTCGCTCTTTGAAAGAAATTCATCAGAAAAATTTTCGAGCCAATAGAGAGTATGTGAACGGAACTGCTGCTCTATTTCCTCAATTGGTTAATCATTCTGATCCTGAGGGACCTGTGTTTAATCAGAGATATTGGGTCGATTATTCTGCTTGGAATGGTAGTGATAAAGCTATGTTATACATTGGTGGAGAAGCACCGGCTATCTCATCTCCTGATGGTTATCCTGGAATGTATGGTCACCAAAGAAATATGTTACTTTTTACATTGGAAAACCGATATTATGGAGGTAGTTTCCCTTTTCCTTTGACCGAAAAAGAAAAGCTTACCAAGTATTTAAGTGTTGATATTGCTCTCGATGATTTATATTATTTTCAACGTTTTGTTGAAGATAAACTTATTGGTAAAAAGCTACGTTGGCTTATAGTTGGAGGAAGTTACGCTGGTGCCTTGAGTGTTTGGTTCAAAGTAAAGTATCCAACTTCAGCTCTGGCGATCTGGAGCAGTAGTGGTGTTGTAGAACCTCGTTTGAATTTTTATGCTTTTGATGGTCATGTTAATTCAGAAATTCCACGTGAATGTGCAAAATCTGTACATATAGTACAATCACTCTTCTCAAAAATGTGGGAAAATTCAACTACCCGTTTGGAATTTTTGGATCGTTACGATATCCCATACTATTTCGAAAAGTCTGAGGTTTCCTCTATGTTGGCAGATGCGGTGTCAGGAGCTGTACAATACGGTAGAAAATGGGAAATGTGTAATATGATTGTAGATCAAAATAATATAGATCCTTTAGGACAATTCTTAAAAATGATTATTCGTTTATATGGCCGAGGATTCACTTCAAATTGTGGATACAGCACTCAATGTCTCACAAATACATCAATGTCTAATCATTGGACTGGTTGTGGTTACGCTTGGATTTTTCAAACTTGTAAAGAACTTGCCTATTTTCAGGTGGGATATCACAACAGTCTTCGACTTCCAGATGTAAGTACAGAATTTTTTGTAAATCAATGTCGTGCAGTATTTGGTGATACAATATTTCCTGACGTTTTTCAGTTTAATTCCAAATGGGGAGGTAAAAAACCAAATGCTGGAAATGTGGTTGCATTACAAGGATCTGATGATCCATGGACAGAAGTAGGAGTTACTAAAACATTTAAATCAAATTATCAAGCTTTTGTTGCAAGATGTGAAGGTTGTGGTCACTGTGGTGATCTCTCCTATCCAAACCCTGCTGATCACTCATCACTTCAAGAACAAAGAGAACGACTAGCGTACTATTTGGATATTTGGATGTCAGGGGAACCCACATCGTACATGCTCATTCTACATCATAATTTCAGTACTTTTTCTCTGCATCATAAGGAAGAATTGGTAAAAGCTGTTCAGAACGATCTTCATGATTTTTTTGATCATACTGCTGATATTCAGAATTTTACTATTGATAATCTCAGCCGCACGTTTACAATTAATTTTGTCATATACGTTAATTCGTTAAATAAAGATGAAGTGAGTTCTACAATAATTAAACTAAGGAATATGTCTTCATGGTTATTGCATACACAAAAAGTACTGGATTCTATTGGTGATAAAGGACAAGTTGTCGTACAGTTTTTTGAACAGTCATCACCTTTGAAACCCAGTGAGGAGAGTAGCTTCTCGTTTGATCTGACTGTGGCCCTAACCAGTTTTATTTTTATTTTTATCACTGTGACTAATATGTTAATTTTTGTATACAAGCTTTACAAAAAGAAAAATAACGTACAGTAGACTATTATCGATATTTAAAATATGCTTCGCTATTAGGAAAGAGAAAGAGTTTTTTTTTTTTATTATTTTATGGGGTGATGGGGAAAGGTGCAATAGGAAAGAAGAAAAGGGAAAAAAAACTAGTGGATTTCTTTTTTACTTTGTAGGAGTTGTACTTTTTTTTTTACTTCTTTTTTTTTTATTTTGTAATCTTGATCCTAATAATCCTCTTTTAGAGGAACAGGAACTGCAAGCAGAAGAGTGAATTGGTTAGTTTAAGAATAAATTTCTTTTATTCCTTTTCTTTGCTTCTTTATTTTTGCATTAAATATATTAAAAGGTTTATGATTCTTCTTAACGGCGCACATGGTGTGAAATTTACTACCAAGATGGCTCAACGAAACAGTACAATGACATCTGTAGGGACATGAACTTCAAATTAAACTTCTCTACGATAGACTTCTGGGAAAGTTTTCTTTAGTGGGTGCTTTCTGTTGTTCTCACTAACTACAACCGCTGATGAGTACGTGCAACATTTGTAGTGGGCTCATATTATGGTGAATCATTATTACGACATTCAGTTATGAGGTCAATCCTCCACTATTTTCTTTTTTATGGACTCTAACAACTTGTTTCCTTGTGAGATGTTTGCCATTTTCGTTTTTTCCCTTTCTTTCTTCTTTGGGGGGATTTATTTTATTATTATTATTTTGTTCTTGTTATCGTGTCGCTGTTTTGTTGGACTAATTTAAATTCTAGTTTTTGAGACGGGGGAATGGGTGTTCCGGATGACAAGTTGCACTGTTTCTTTTAGTTCAAGAACCTGCCATGATTGATATAATAAGAATGGATTTTACTCTTTTTATTATTAATATTAATATTATTATTATTATACTCGTATTAATATTATTATTGTTATTATTATTTTTCTTTTGTTTCTTTTTCTGCTTTTGTATTTAAACAAAAGGGAAAAAAAATAGCATTAGTGATGGAAGAGTATGAAAATATATCATTTCCATCAGAGGAGATGATGGTCCGTTTAATTGAAGAACAGCTGTGGTGTGGTTATGAAGGAATTGATGCATCTGTTGAACTTCCGTTAGAAGATGAAAATGCTACCTACCTACGTGAAACTGTTTTTCCTACTCTTGTCCCTGCATTGTACGAATTAGTGAGACGTGAGCAACAGAGACGTCTAAATCCAGAATCATTCCCAGGTTCATATGGAGCCACAGGGAACATTAATTCGATCTCCTGGTTATCACAATATCTTCTTCGAAACAATACACAACACAGCAAGAATCTCCTACAACATCCATATGTATTGGTAAATAATCAGGTACTTAAAAGAGAAAAAGAGGCCAAAGAAGGAACGGTACTTCAATGATATTTAATTCCCCCTTACATTTGTTTCTCTCTTTTTTCTTTGACTTGATCCAATTTGCAAATCCTATATGACATGATGAAACGTATAGGTGTTCTTTGTTTTTCTTTTTTTTTTTGTACTATGTATGCTATCAAAACGCTTTTATAAATATTACTAGAATGTTGATTAATCTATTTTATATATATTTATATGACAAATACTGAAGTTTAAATTTTATGAATATACATATGTATACATATGTATATAAATGTTTTTTTTTTTTTCGTTTTTGTTGTTCCGTTTTTAAGATAGATGGTTCTGGGGGTATTATCTCTGTGTTAGAGGGATTTAGATTATATGGAATTGGACCTAGATGCTGTTTCTCAAGCCTTGGAAAGACTTGTAGCACCATCTACATCTAAAAATGGCTCATTATTGAATAGTAGTTCAAAGACACCATTGATGTCTGCACAAGTAGATACAGAGAAAACCTTTACAAGTACCTCATTGGAAAGTAATGCGAAACGAAAGGAAGCTCAGAAAGTTTCCACTACTTCAAAAAAAACTCTTGACTCAACTAGGAATACACAGGAGATTCTCATATCTCCTAGTAAATTAAGGCAAGAGCGACGACCACAACAGAAACGAAGCACACCTTTTGTTCCTTCACCAAATCAGATCCCCTGTAGAATAGTTGAATCAAGTGGACTTGGAGCATCTGCTATATTACTTAAAAGTACTTTGGCAGGTAAACGACAAGAAGAAAAGGTATGGAGTACGAATCTTTCCCAAACCCCACAACCCTATTTTGTATTGAACTGTCTCCCTAAGAATTACCTTCGGAAAGAAGTTATATCGCATGTTGCACCAACAATAGAATCTACAGGTACTCATGTAGAACGAATAAGAGATATTCTTCTTTCTATAGCCTTTGAACCGATCTATGATGGGTCAGAGGAAGTGGAGACACCGATTGAACGACTTGTTATATCGTGCTCAAATCATCCACGCACTGGATATGTTAGCGTTCTTCGTGCAAAAGGGATAGAAGGACGGTTAATGCGGGCTATTATTCCAGGTACCTTAATGGGACCTTTTTTGAAGGTGGTGCTAATTCCTAAGGATGCAGTACGTATAAAAGTTGTTCGGGTAAGTACAATAGAGATTGCTTTTGCAGACAGTTGGTCAGAACGTCGTATTATTGAAGAAGCTTTGATATCTTCACATGACAATGATGAAACTGAAGTTTCTGATTATATAAAAACTTTACAAAATATGAGTGGAGAAAAAGTTGTAGATGAAACTTATGTAAATAAGAATGATGCAGTAGAAATATTAAAAAGAGGAAATAATATCGGAAGTTCTTCATCTGTCAATTCCTCAACTCATATTTCAACTGTTGGAAACCCTCAGGAGGAGGAGGAGGAGGAGGCTGAGAGTGTTGTAGACTCTTCTGATATTCATAGACAACCTAGATACAAGAAACAAGAAAATGACGCTCCTGTTCAAACAGATATTCACCAAAGAAGAAGAAAAAAATCCACTACATTTGGTAATACGCAAATATCCGGTAAACCTATAAAAGATTTTAATTATGAGAACGATCTTGAGGGAACTATATTATCTTCCCCAAAAGAGAAAGAACCCAAATATTTTACGGGATCCATGTGTACTGTAGAAAATGATAGTTCTAAAACATTAAAAAATTCGGTTGATCCAGTAGTTCACGATAGCGATGCTTTTTGCCAAGAACGAAATATTTCTGAAAACAATTCAACAGAAGGACGCATATCAAAAGCTTTGATCGCGTGGAGTGTTAAGCAACGGCTTTTACAAGATGAAAGTGTTATGCATTCTCTACGAGACGGAAGTGGTTCCCCATATGAAGCTAGATCTTCTTCTTTCCCTTTATGTGATGATATCAAAGAGAGTTGTAGTGACAAATTACCCAATATAATTCAAACAAAACAAAAATCGATAGAAACACTTCAAGCAAGAAATGTTTGGGATGCAGTGAGTCACTGGAGTTATCATGATGTTTTACTTGAATCAATGACAAACTCTTCAGCGTTCTGTGTTAGTATTGCACATACTTCCGAAGAGGTTCTCGCTTCCCTTCCTCAACCCTACGGCTTGCAACTGCTATTTGTACTCACTAACGAAGTAGAAGGTTCAGTAAAAACTGAAACGGATTATTTTGAACTGATGATGATGATTGCTCGTGGAGAACGTCGACGTGGATATAATGCTGAACTTTTATTTCGCATGACTGATGGATTTGTTTGTAAATTGTATTCACGCCGTGATACGGATAAGGAACCTCAGTGGTTATTAGTTTCTGTGCAAAGTCGTTCAATGGCAATTAACGAATGCTTATCAGAGGCCCTAGGAGTGTATGAAAAAATTTTTCAGACACGAAAAAAATCTCAGAAACATGAATTTAATGATACCACTAAGAAAGATTCTATATCGAATGAAGAATTGAATCTCTCTTTAAAATTACCAGTATTACGTTCTGTTCTTGATTTTGCGTGTCTATTTGAAGATTTGTTACCAGTACTTAGATTGTGGCTTTCTGTTGGTGATATGTACTACTATGGTGATGTTCAATCGGTTTTCTGTCCATTTATCAATGATTGTGGAATAATTCAACCTTCTTGTTGGTTTCATTGTATATTAAAAGGAGTAGTGCGATCCGTTCTTTTATCTCTTCCTGGTGCAGAACGACAGTCAACAGGTTATGAAACATTGCGTGAAATGTCTCCCACAAAGCAGAGACGATTAGCATGTACAACACTTCATAAAAGTATCCCTTTTTGTGGAGTATGGCAGTCACATGTTCATGCTGTAAGAATTGTTCTCTCTAATGCGCATGCACTTCACCATTTAGACTTACTTGAAGGTATTTTGATGAATCAATATGATTTTGCAATAGCTGAATCATTGTGTCCAGATTCACGAAGCAAATTTGATTTACTCAAAGAAGATAGTACAACAGAGATATCTTCATTTTCACCTAATGCAAAGTTAACAACACCATCTAAAGATTCAGAAAAAACAAGCGTAATGGCATTTCATACATTAAGTAGAGCTCTTGAACGTTCTTGGTCCGTTGTAGGGATTGTGTTACCAACAGAAACTCATTTTAGTGAGGATGCGTTTATGGATACAGTTATTCGTTGGGCATACGCCATGCCACGTGTTATTGTTATTTTTTATTGTGATAATGTAAGTGATGAATCATCACCTCTTTTCTCTGCTGGTTTTGTGGATGCCTTTGCCACCGTAAGTGATCTGCGAACAGCCCTGAAACTGTGATGAAGCACATAGACGTGTATAGTTTCGTATATATATATATATATACTGGATATTAATTTGTGAATATGACAATTTTTTTTTTTGTAATCTGTACTCCATTTTAAATACCATTTTCTCTTTTTTTTTTGAGGCCCACTCTTCGAAAGAAAGAGATTGTGTAATGGTGTGATTGTGAGCATTATCTTTTTTGCTGAATTTATCAAAAAGGAAAGAAAATAGTTATTGTTTTTTTTTTTCTTTTTCGCCTTTTAAAAGAATAATACTTGTTATTATTATAATCATTGTAAACGAATACAACTTTAATAGTGACCTCTTTTTTTTTCTTTTCTTTTTTTACTTCATTTCTGCTGTTCCCAGAAAAAAGAACAGAGAAGCGTGATTCGTAACGGAAGAGAAAGAGCCGAGAGGTAAAAAAAAAAAGTGCTAAAGTTTTTTTTAAAAAAAAAGAGTAACGAAAGATACGGAAAGAAGTTATTTGACGGAAATTCCCCCGTTTAAAGCTAACAAATTGTTATATAAAAAAAAAAAAAAAGGAAAAAAAAAGGTTCACTAAATAAAACTTTTTGTTGGAGTACTCCAAAGAGCAATGGACCAAGCGCAACTTCTGAACCTGATCAACCAGTTGCTCTCAGCAGATAATGCCACCCGAAAGGCTGCCGAGGCAGAATATGAGCTACTTATTCAGCAAAACGGTGTGTGGGTAATGTGTGGTTTGTCTGAGATATGCGCAAACACAGAGGCCGCAACAGTCATGCAGATGGGCCTTGTCTTGCTGAAGAAACTCTTTGGAAGCAAATCCGATTGCTTTGAAAAGGCGGATGCCCAAACACAGGGAGTTGTGAAAGGTTTGCTGTTGCAGATGCTTGGAAAGGCATCTTTAGGTTCTCAACGTGGATTAGCAGCTGCTTGCGTGAGCGCTTTAGTTGTTAAGATGCACAGTATGAATCAAGAATGGGCGGAACTTTGGCAGGCCGTTTTTCAGATCCTTGATAATGCAGATTCTACATCTCAGCTCAAGGCTATTTGCTGTGAAATCATCGCTACCACTGGTCCATCCATGGCAACTTATTTCGGTAACAATATTGCCAGGATTGCATCTGGCATTGGAAATTGCCTTATGGATGCATCCGTAGAAGTTAGGAAAAGCGCCTTTGACGCTATTTTCAATGTTGCTATTTGTAAGCCAGTACCTGAGCTTGCACAACTGGTTCCCCTAATGTTGCAAGTTATACAAGATTCACTTAATGCATCTAACTGGGATGATGCAGAACAGCTTACCGCTAAGTTGGCAGATGGTGTTTCTCATTCTGCTGTACTCTTTGCAGGTCACACAGGGGCGCTTTTACAAGGTTTGTTGGGAGTAGCATCTACACCATCCGTGGCACCAGGTGCCCGTCACATGGCAATTGAAACTATGGTATCCTATTGTGAAAGCGAACCTAAAACAGTGCGTAAGGTACCAAACTTCTCCACAGCATTTCTGCAACTTCTCTTTGAGTATACACTTAATCCAACATTGCCAGATGATTGGGATAACAAGGGTGTTAACGTGGAGGAAGATGATCTTGACGATGAAAATGACGATACTGTTGGGAGTAGTGCCATTGATCGATTGGCATCAGCTCTTGGTGGAAGGAAACTTGAAAATTTGGCTCAACAACTTTTTGTTGAAAATATTCGTTCACCTGATTGGAAACGACGTAATGCAGCACTTCTCTTAATTACATACATCTCAGAAGGTATGGCACCTGTTCTTGAAAAACACTTTGACGAAATTGTCAGAATGGTTCTACCTGCTCTTCAAGATGAGGTAAAGTATGTACGAGCTACCGCATTGGAATGTATTACTCAAATGTCAACAGACTTTGCACCAAAGATGCAGGAAACTATGGCTCAAATTATTGTTTCATCTGTTATGGTATGTATCCGAGATGATGTACCAGCAGTCGCTACACGTGCAGCACGATGCCTAGATGCATTCTTTGATCAATTTGAAGAAGATGAAGATGATGAAAATCATAATGCGGCATACTTAAAGGAGATTGAGCAATACATTGAAGGACTCTGTGCTGCTCTTGTATCTCTCCTTAAACAAACAACCCATCAATTTGTCCGTGTAGATTGTCTTGGGGCACTTTCTTCCATTATTTCAACATGCAAACATCTTCTTAAACCATATGTTAACCACCTTGTCCCTGTATTCCAGGAAGTATTGGCTATGCCAGAATCTCCAGATACGGTCATGATGAAATGTAAGGCAATTGAGTGTACTACATTGTTGGCTTGTGGAGTGGGACGAGAAGCCTTTGGACCTTATGCGCAAGATATGTGTAATTACCTCCGCGACCTCTTAGAGCATCTTACACGAGGTGACAAGAATGATGATATGCGTCTGCGTTACGTTCTTCGTGGTTGGACTTGCATGACAGATTGTTTAAGGGAGGCAGTAGTTCCATACATGCAGGTCGTTTTACCTGTTCTCATTTCCATGATGAACGTAGAGTGTGATATGGAGGTGGAAAATGCAGAAGTTGGTGATGATGATGATGAGAATGAAAATGAGAATACTGAAAAGGATGTGGCAACAATGCGAGTGGTGGTTCCTGGTGTGGGTGTCAGGAGGATCAAGGTCCATACTGGTTTAATTGAGGAGAAGGATCTTGCCGCCAGTGTTGTGAGTGCCATTTTGACTTATATTGGCAAATATTTAGGACCTCATTTACATCAGATTGCAGAGTCTGCCGTTCATCTCGTATCATTCCAATCGGATTCTTCTATTCGCGAAAGTGGAGCACTCATTATAGATGGTGTACTTGATGTCTACGAGCAAGCCGATCGAGCCCAATTGGCTGCAACTGTAATGCCACCGTTGTTGAATCAATTTGCAGAAGAGGATGAGTTGGACGCTTCCAGCGCGTTATCTGTGGTAATCAGCCGCTGCATTGACTACGCCCCGACGTTAGTATCACCAGAGACTGTGACGGCAATCAGCGAAAAGGTGCTTGGTGTACTGCAACGGGCTATGGATAACCGTGCCGAAAGTCTTCAAGCCCAAGCTGAAGAGAATGACGAGGATGAGTTGGACAGACTCAAGGAGGAAGAAGAAGAGGCTGATACACTTATTCGCGATACCTGTTCATTACTGGATAAGATGCTCGAGCGGGCTGGTTCTATTTTTGCCCCTGTATTTATCACAATGTTCGTTCCTATTTTGGAGAAGATGTTACAAGAGGGGGAGAAGGATGTTATGGTGACACGTGGAATTGCCTTATTGTGTGGCTTAGTGGAATACACACCAGATCATATATCTGGTTTTATTCCCACCATTGTTCAGAATGTTCTCACCTTTGCACGCAGCCGAAAGGATGCTGACTTGCTTCAGTCTGCCTTTTTCCTGATGAACTTACTCCTTCAGTACTTCAGCAAAAACGCAAGTCCCTTGGCACAAGAGTTTGTCCCACAAGCATGTGCGATCTTCACAAACTACATGTCAGTCCGACATAAGGATGATTATGAGTATGCCACTTGCAATGCTATCAGCATGGCAGTCTCACTTCTCTCACTGTTTCACCAAATCTTGCCCCCACAGGAGGCAGCACAGACACTCCATACTGTCATTAGCGCTTTGCCTGCAAGCGGTGATGATGTGGAAGCGTGTCGTCTGCACGAACGACTCTTAATGATGGTTGTCCAAGGACACCCGCTGCTGGCCAACGCATCAGAGCAATCGAAGGAGATTGTCATGCGACTGAAGACGGCAGGAGAGGGGATGTTGAATGAGTCCACCCGCACGCAGCTCTCATACATGTAGAGGAGTTCTCTCTGAGACAGAAGAAGTGACTTTGGGAGGAATAATAAGACGATAAGAAGAGAAGGAGAGAGAAAAAGAGAAGGAGAGTTGAGGTATCTATCTATTCTTCAATATATATATATATATATATATATATATATATATATATTGAAGAATAGATAGATACCTCAACTGTGAAGAAATAAGGAATGAATTAAAGTTCTAGGGCTTGTTTTTTCGTTCTCATTCTTCCGCTTCTTTTCTTAATTTCATCTTGTTCTTTTTTTTTTTTAAAGTATTCTGATCCCCCCCCCCCTCCTTTCCTATTCTCATTTCTTTCAATTTGCATTTCCTCGCATCTTTCACGGGTCCTTCTTTTCCTGCTCTGCTTTACCCCTATCTGTTCCAGAGAAGAGGGGTGATGAAGTGAGCACGCTCGATGTGGGATGATGGGAATCGGGTTGAAAGAGAAATAAACACACCAATGGAAGTTTAGGAAAAAAAAATAACCAGAAAGGAAAAAAAAAAAAAGAAATGAAACCAAATCGAAAGAAAAAAGAACATTCTGATGTTTCCAGAACGTAAATGGAAGAATGATACTATGATGATGTGAAAAATGAATATACATGCATCTTTGAGTTGAAGGGGCACATTCTTGAAAAACCTAACCATATTAATAGCAGAGTTAATCTAAGAAGGTGTACAGAACATAATTAGAACAGTGCGGGACAAAAGGCAAAGAAAAATAAAGAAAACAAATAAAATAAGAAAAAAACTAAAAAAAAAAAAACAAAAAAGAAAATGAAGGTTGAGTGAGAAACAATATGTTCGCGTGAATAATAAGAACGAGGAGGAAAGAAGAAGAAACAAGGACTGAGGGGAAGAGTCCCGACATTCAGCTCCCACGCTAAAATCAAGAAGAGGTGAAAATAATTATTGCACACAAGAGTCCATCTTCTTTATTTACTACTTCTACTATTACTATTACTAATATTACTGAAGTCTCATAAACAAGAGTGGAAGCAGTTGTTTTTGTTTTCTTGACAATTGCTAAGTAATAGGGTAAAGGAGTAGTAAATGGTAAGTTGAAACCTCCCAAAGGAGACGAATTCTTGAATTCTTTTGCTTTCTTCCACTTTTTCTCTTCTTAAGAACGAATCCTTTTTCTTCTTCTTTATCTTTTTTTTTATCGCTTTTGACTCTAGTATATGTACTGTGATGTGCTTGTGCGCATTTATTTCGAATTGTGTTCTTATTTATTTATTTATTTATTTATTTATTTATTTATTTATTTTTTTTTCCTCTCTTTGTTTATATTTATTTTTCTCTCAAATAACCCCCCTCAAAAAAAAAAAAAAAAAAAAAAAACAGAGAAGACACTGGTACTTGAAACAGGCGGTAGGTGAATAGATTGTACATTCCCTGGGTCAAGTGTGTTTGGTGGTATTCCTTCCTGGAATATTTCCACTCCCCACAAAAAAAAAAAAAAACAAAAGATAAAAAATACATAATAGACTATCAAGACCAAAAGAAAAAGAGGAATATATTTTTTTTTTAGCGTTAGAGAACAAATTTCATCCTCCCTTTTCCAAAGAGGCAACACGAAAAACAAAAAGAAAAACAAAAACAAACAAACAAAGAAAGTAGTTTTTGCCTCTAGAAATGGGTGGCAATTCAAGTCGTGAGATGATGAGCCCGTATGCGGTTAATACACCGCTTATAGGTATTTGCTTCACCTCTCTACTCTTCAACAGTGTACAAGGTGGGACTCTGCGATCATCTAACCTGTACAATAATTTCATTCTCATCTACCTCTTGGGCATCTCAACAGGATGTTCAACTGTTCTGCAGAAACCGGTGTTGGGGGCACAGTTGGGATTTTTAGCCTCTTTCTGCTTTACCATTGGCCCAAATTTTCGGCTTCTTTACACGCGTCGTCTTTTTCCGGATTACGTGCGTTATGCTATTGGAACAGCGTACATGACGTACCATGGTCTTCAGTGGTACAGAGAAAAGACGTACTTTGAGGATGCCATGGAGGATGAAGAAGAAAACTGAAACTACAGAAGGACGAAGTAAAGACATAAAACAAAAAAAAAAAAATGGAATGAAAGGAGGAATGAGGATTTTCATATGATTTTCAGTAGTCACGTCCCCACGTTTTGTATATATCGTTTTTTTTTTTTTTTTTTTTACAACTCATGAGAGTATTATTGATTCCATTTGACTTAGCTGTCTGTCACTCTTGCATATTCTTACGTTTTTCGAGCAGGTGTCCGTTGCATCTTATCTCTCCATTTATCCTTTCTTCCTCTCCCTCGCTCTCTCTTTCACATACACGCACAAACTCTCTCTCTCTCTCTCTCTCTTTTTTTTTTTTTTTTTCATCTGCATCCGCCGTTAATCCCCAATACTACTAGTACTACTACTACAGTTGGGGTGCGTTTACAAAGGGAAAAGAAAAAAAAAATATATAAAGAAAGCTGTCTCTGTTTAAGGCAGATGTCATCTGCTCAGACAACTAGTGTCTTCTTCACGAGTGTTCCCCTCTTTGTGGAGGAGCACAGTCTGCGCAAACACTTTGAGAGTGTTGGCCACATCACTGACTTCCGTTTTCTAGGACCTGCACCAGGCCGAGACTTTCGCTACGGCTTTGCTGATTACTTAGATGTTACAAGCGCACAGGAGGCCATCCAGCGCCTAAACGGGACCTCCTTTGGAGAGCGTACCATGAAAGTAACATCCGCCGCGAATTCACGTAACAGGAAACGTCATCGTCAGCATGCTGCAGCGACGGCTGTTGCTGAGGGAGCCGTACGTGGTGGTATGATGTTCCCACGCTCGTACGTGGACCCCCTTCTGGGTCGTGATGACACAAGTGTACTGGGGTGTTTACACGGAATTCCTGTTTCGGACGCATACGAGGCTGTGGAGCAATTACGTGTATTGGTACTTGAGCGCAAGAATGAGGCCCGTAAACTTTTAGATAGCTACCCAGCGCTTCGACTAGCTGTCGTAATGATTTTACAACACGCTGGTCGTCTTCCGTTTGGCCCACTGCCATCAGAAGCCATACAGCACCCGAATAATATTTCAAATAATACCGCAAATTCAGGAGTAGCAACAACACCAGCAGAAACAGAAGAGAGTGAAGATACAAGCAAGGCAAAACACTCACAGGAGGAGCGCGACGAAGTGATTGAAATTCTGACTAAGCTAAGCGAAGAGGAAGTGGAACGCATTGTTACCATGAGTGACGCAGATCTCAATCGCATTCCTGACCTTGTTCAGCGTGAACAGATGTCTATGCTTCGCGCTCGCTTACTTGATATGGCGGGTAACCTTGATTAAGGTAGTGAATTCTTTCGTCATCATCATAATTACAGAGACGATATGATTGCCACGCATGGAATCCGCTATTCACTTCAGTTAAACATATACACTACTTAAATCCTGTGAAAATGAACGTGTCAGCATAAGTAATAATTTTTGCCATATAATATATTGCTTTTTCTTACTTTTCTTACTTTGTATCTTTGATTTTACTTAGCCCAAGTCATCTATTAAAGAAAAAGTGTCAACTTTTTCCCTTTAGGATAGTTAGTGCATTCCTCACAAATTGTGGTAAGGTCTCCTTCTGGGTAGTTGACACCGTGTTCTTGATCCCTCCTTCAGCAGGGCAGTAGAGGGTCGTAGTGAGGCATAGAGTGATTGTGTGCTTGTGCCTGTGTCTGTTTCCGATTCCCGGGGGTATTTGGGCACAGAGCTCGAGCGGGCGATATCTAGCATTCAAAAGAAGACTCCCAGAGAGTGAATCTATCACAGGAGGGGAGAAAGATGCCACAAGAGTCTTTTCAAGTGGCTTTTTATGATTCCTCAGATGATGAGCAGAACGAGCAAGTGGCACAGGTTGTGCCGGTGGTGGATGGCGTGTCGCCGCAGACCACCCCGACCACAAGAGATGAGAATGATGATAATCAAGAACAAGAACAACGCCGACAACAACAACGGATGTCTTCATGGCTTGGTCGAATTGCCAATCGTACTACGGCGTTCCTTTCTTACGCCTTTGGTGGCCGGAATGAGCTAAATACTGATGCTCCAATGGATGCAGAGAGTGCAGAGAAAGAGTCGAATGACAGCGGTCGGTGGGGGTACAGGGCACACCGCGAAGTGGCCCGCCGGTCAGTTGAGTTGAATAACGCCGAGTCGTTTGCACCTTCAGAGGAGATTGCGGTAGACCTCCGTGAGACGATCCTTCAGTACAAACGCACACCTGATGATGTTTATATGCGCATCATACTTGCTGCGCTTAATTATGGAGAGATTCAGGTTGGTGGGGATCTGTTCCGTGCCGCCTATGGCAATCATGAACTCATGAAGGTACTAATGGAGTCTGGGAAGGTAAACTATGCTGACCCCTATGTACAGGAGATCATCCAAAAAGAGATTAACTCGATGGTTGTGCCTGATGCAGCGTGTGGTGGCCGGATTTCCCCTGAAAAGATTGGGTATCTGGCGTTGCTTTGCCACGCTCCCAGTGCGACGCTCACAAAAGAACAGGCGTGTCTCTTCCGCCACGCTGGCTTTGAGTTTGTCAAGATGCTACACGAGAACCCGCACTTGCTGCGTAATCTACCACCGCCTCGGTGGATTGTGGCACGCATATTGGATGTTTGCTACTTTCTTGACATGGTAGTAACCTGGCTTGGACTAATGGCCACACTGGTAAATTTGGCTTGTGTTGGGTGGATTGTTTACTTTTGGCTGGTAGACGGACCGATTCAATATGGCAATTTTACGATTCTATGCTATGTTGTTGGCTATGTTGTGAGCATTGTTGCAGTGATGGTGTCTGAGGAGGGCAGGATCCGTGATTACGAGGACCGACTCTGGGACTACCCAGATAACACTCTCAAGGTTATTCCCT